TCTTATATAAGATGCCAACTGATTCTCTTAATTCTCACTTAGAAGAGCCCCACATCGGCGGGTTTGGGTTTCAACCCGAAACCAACCCATAAAAAACTGAAAACCGAGAAATCGAACCCAACGGTTTGGGTGTTGGGTTCGGTTTTAAAATTTTAGAAACCGATAGTATCGGCTTGGGTTCAGTTTTAGGTTAAAACTGACTCAAACCGACCCATTCTCACCCCTACTTTTAACAAGTGAGTGCATAGTAACTTTCATCTTACACATAAATACAAAGTATCTATCTTCTTAAACGTCATACGTGCTTATTATTTGTATTTATGATACTTGTGCTAGACATGATTTTACTTGATTTAAATCATACTTTATTAAAATATTGATTTACTTATTTTATCGTACTTAATTTATATTGGGTAGAAAATGGATGTGAAAGATAAAATAATGATGTGAGGCTGTGACTATTATACTACTATTGTCCCGATGAAAAAGTTATCCATCAGAGTATAGATGACGAACAGAAACTATTCTAGACAGTATAGTGGAACATTGACAGACTCGTAATCTGTAGGTGTTAATGAACTGGCCGTTCATTTGATGTAGTCTATCACCCTATAGTTGCCTTATTGATATAATTGTTAAGAGATCCCCGAAGCAGTATTGTCTACTCGTTTCTTATAATATTCCTTTAGGATAGGTCCATTGATTATCATTTTAGGATCATGAAGTAAGAATAACGGGAATGGGTAATCGGGTTAATTGATAGTGATATCTGCTGAGAGATTTAAAGATTTAAGACCATTAGTATAATAAACAGTTGTAAGGTCTGTAATAACTAGTTTATGCTTATGTTTTTGTATTAGTAATGACATCCGAAGTTTTTTAATATTAATAGACATTTCTTTGAAAATGTTTTTATTTTACAAATATTTTGGGACAATCCTGCACAATTATATTCTTCAAAAGAATAATATGTTTTATATAAGTATAAAGAAAAAGTTTTATTTAGCCGTCAAAATTA